GATCCTTTTCAAGCTCAGATGCCCCCTGCAAGCAATCAGAGGGAGTTGGGTTCTTATCGTGACAAGAATAAATGGTAGTATCATCAGCGAACAATGCCACCTTAGATGTGAGAATATCTGGAAGATCGTTAATGTAAATTAAAAAGAGTATAGGGCCAAGGATTGAACCTTGAGGAACCCCTGAGGTTACAGAATAAGAAGAAGAGTGCTGTCCATCAAGGACAACTTTTATACTACGATTGGAAAGGAACGATTCAATAATCTTAAAGATGTTTCTAGATACACCGTAAGAAGAAAGCTTATGGAGAAGACCAGCATGCCAAACTTTATCAAACGCCTTAGAAATGTCAAGAGCAATGGCCTTAACCTCTCCACCTTCTTCTGATGCGCGATAAAACCTATCGGTTGTTACTGATAGCAAATCAGCCATAGAACGAGAAGATCGAAATCCATATTGATGATCAGAACGTAGGTTATGAGATTCGAGATGAGAGATTAAGTGTTTGTTAATTAAAGATTCAAAAACCTTGCTTATGATAGGAAGAAAACTAATGGGAAGGTAATTTGACGAATCGGATCGCTCTCCAGAACTTTTAAAAATAGAGATAACAGATGCTGCTTTCCAGCAGGCTGGAAAACAAGACTCTGATAAGCACTTGTTAAATAGTTTTGAAAGGATAGACAACAGCTCCGGAGAACACTTCTGCAAGACTATAACAGGTATGTTGTCCGGGCCGCAAGCTGTAGAAGAGTCTAAGCGAGAAATCACTTTAGATACAGAAGCTGGAGTGATACGAATATCAAGCAAAGGATCAACCTGTTTGACAGCTATATCAGGTAGAACGCAAATAGTGGCATCAAGAGATGACATTGATGAAAAAATCTTAGCAAACAATTCAGTTTTGTCTTTAGGTGAGGTGACAAAGTCTGAATCATACAAAAGAGGTGGAATTACAGACTTGCCCTTATTATCGATACAATTAAAGATTTTCCAGAAGTCGCGAGAGCCTAATTTTTGTGATGAAATATAAGATTTCATGATCTGAGAATAGCGGGCTTTGGCGTTAAACAAAACCTTTTTACAACGGTTCCTATCAGTAATAAATAGGCGTCTGTTTTCTGGAGAATTGTTTTGCTGATAGATATGGAAGTAATGGTTTCGATTCGCAATTGCAGCAGCACAATGTGAGGAAAACCATGGAGAAGAGTGAGGCTTGACCTGGAATCGTCGAAAGAGAATAAAGGATTCCATGCCAGCCTGAATCCACGAAGTTATGTAAGAAGCACATTTCTCAACAGGAAGACAATAGATTTCTACCCAAGGGCCATCATGAAGAAAATCGCAGAAAGATTCCCAGTCAGCTTTAAGATGTAAAGATAAAACACCCACTGTAAGATGTACAATGATAGGGGGATTCTGATGGTAAAGAAGAATGAGATAATAGTTTTAGAGAGACCAAACCATGATCAGAAACACCTAAGGGTGAGTGTGAAGAAACTGAGCACTGACTAGGATCAGAAACAAGGCATAAGTCGAGTAGAGAAGGTAAATGATTTGGGTTGTCTGGAAAGCGAGTTGGAAAGTTAATTATTTGAGTTAAGGATTGAGAAAGACAGAAGTTGTGGGCCTTAATGCCTGCAGAGTCACTGACACTAGAGCCAAGCCATTCAGTATGATGAACATTAAAGTCACCGACAACAACAATATTGGCTGATGGATAAAGAATGAGGGCTTGGTCAATATACTCAGAAATAACATCAAGAAGAGTGCAGTCTTGAGATGAAGGAGAGTGATATAGAACAAAGAGAAAGGTGATAGAGTGAAGTGATGCTAAACGAAAGCACATAAAAGAGTAGTCTGTGGATTCAAACCTAGTTTCCCGATAAATGGGTGAATTTTTACAAATGTAAATGCCCAGGCCAAACATGTTAAAGGAATTAAAGGAAGATAACCATCAACACTAAGATCACAAGATGAGACAGAAGAACTCAAATTAGTCTCACAAAGAACAAGTAGGTCTGGTGAACTTTGCAAGAGATAAGACTCAACAGAAGAAAAGTTACTTCGAAGACCATGAATATTGGTGAATAATAGGTTTAGCGAACTTGGTGATGGCTGTGGTTTTTTGTGTTTTATAGTTTTTGTTACTTTATTCATTGTTAAAGAACTTGACTCGATAGTACTCAGTACACTGTTTTATAGCCCAAGCAATTGCCTCATTTCCACTAATAAACCCTAAGCTGTAACAAAGGGCTCCAATGTGGCCTTGGCAATGCACACCAAAAGTACAATCCATCAGTACACCAAAAGTACACACCATCCATGCGCAACATGGCACTATTAGTACTCTGATATTTTTCAGCTGTTGATGGAATCAGTTGGAATCGGGAAACCTGACTACCAGCTGGCCTCAGAGCCATAAAACTGAGTTTTAGAGCTGTACCCTCATTTGGAGATAATAGAATGAGTTGCCTAGTCATAAAAACAGAGACACAAGCAAAACCCATGCATCGAGTCAAGAAGATCCAGCGTTTAACATCCTAAACTCGAAACAAAGTATTAAAAATACATCTGTGCCAGCCTAATAGATGAAGAAAGGGGTGCGAGGCTGGTCAACAGATAGAATCTGTTTACCTCTTAAGTCTTTGCCTTGGAGGCTTTCTACAAGACAGCAGCCAGATGCATTTAACATCTGCCCAAGATGAGTATTTTTATCGAGACACCATTTCTAACCTTTACTCAACCAAGAGCCCCAAGGCAGTGGGTGTTTTATGTCGAAGTTTGCATCTCCTAGCCTTTGCCTAAAAAGGCATATCCTACAAGGCAGCAGGACATGAAGCAGATTGTACTGGGTTACATGTTACCAGTAGCAGGATAAACCTGATATGACCATGATGCATAAATGCATTATGTTCTTGATGCATCATGAATCTTGACGCATTGATGTATCAACTGCATCAATGCATCAAGATTCTATGTACCTCCTTTTTTTATAAATTAAAAAGATACTTTAATCAATCATGGTGCAAAAATGGTCCAACCAGCTCAATGTTTACAAGATCAGAGTTAGGGTAGATGGAGTAATTTATTGAGTAGTTGGAACGGCTATTCATATCAGCAGTTAAATCAATTGATGGTAAACATATTCTTGTATTAGATGGTCACAGTTATTGAAATATATTTAAAAATGCCCACCAACTCATTCAAGTCATATTTTGCAGCAACTGGACATTAGAATATATTATGTTAGGCCTACCTGAAAAAATATAATGATCCAACACAAGTGCTAGCATCACAATCAGCATTGACTATATCATCAACTGCACAGCATCAGTTTCTTTAACACTCAGTTGAATATTATCACAAAACACACATTTTAATTAAAATGGTTTAGAATCTGCAATATAAACATTTCTGTAACAAATTACTATCTCTGATAAACATATCCACTAATCTAAAAGAATATAAGAATTGAATCACCTGAAGCCAAAATAATAGAGAAAGTTCGAGCAATGAATGAAAGATGAAATAAAAAAGGGACTAAAACATAGGCTACGCAGGCGATACAAGCATACCAAATTAATGACAAAAAGTTAGGGCTGTACCAAATTTCGGCTCCGGCTCCTGCTCCGGCCGAAATCTGGCCATTTTTACAAATCCGGCCCAAATCCGGCTCCGGCTAAATGTTAGCGAATCCGGCATAATTTTGGCCGGATTTCTGAATTTTGGTCAGATGTTTATTACATCTTTCTTGCCCGTGATAACATGTATACATAATACTTAATTTTTGAACTTCATGTTTGTTTTGGTATCTGTATTTACATTTCTTTACAATTAATTAGCTAAGCCTAATTTCAAACAACAACGCAACAAAAAATTCTGAAGAGAAGACACACAATATTCTGCAATAATGCAGGTGTAAAGACTATGAAGTCAATCCTAATCAAGTCATTAGATGAGCATTTCAAAGGCACTGAGGAGAAACCTTTTTAGATTGAAAAAAAAAAAGAAAATCCAGCAAAATAATCCCCGTTGGATAATTCTTATACATTATCATCATTACAATGGCAATATATATAGATCAAATTATTTAGTCTACGCCCGCTTGTGGCACAGCACATGAACAACAATTACCAACAGGCATTGACACTCAGCTAAGCCAATATCTGGAAGAATCAGAAATATATAGACACGCTGATTCACTACAGTGGCGGAGTGACAACATCCCGGGAAAAAAAGTTCTATAGAATTTTTTTAAATATTTGAAACATATGGCCTATAGAAACTCTATAAAATTTATATAAAATGTCTATTAATTTCTATAGAAATGCCTATAAAACTTTTAAACAACAAAAAAGATGTTTAATAGAAAACAACTGTCACTTGGTGATCTAAATAGTCAACATTGTTGACCATTTTCAGCATTAAGTAGGGATATACAGGATTTTGGTTCCTGTAGTTTTGCTTCGAAATCCGGCTCCGGCTCCGATTCTGGCCGGATCTGTTAGTAAAAATCTGGCAAATCCTGCTCCGGCTAGATTTGGAAAAATTAAATCCGGTACAGCCCTACAAAAATTACTTCAATGTAAAAAGGTTAAATGTGGAAACAATGTTTAAATATGAAAACAAGTTGTGTCGATTGTGGTCTTGCAACCAGATATGTGCTCTAAAAGGATATCAACAAGGCACTGAGTCTTTCTGTACTAAAAAGTGTAGACTTAACAGTTCCAATAATGAGTAATAGATATATTTTTCTTTTTATTAGTTTTCATATAAGAATTGATTTCTTCTCCATTTTATTATTTTCTCATTGATTATAATGGGGACAGACTTGAGTTGAAAAAGGTATAAATCAGGTCAAAAATTGTTTCATATAAAATTAATTTTAAGAAATAGATATCATATATCTATTACAACTTCCTTTTTTTATATATTATTATAGAAAATAAAGTCTTTTATCTATTGAAAAAAAGTTAAATAATTTAACTAATAATTTTAGCTGCACAAGTGAATCAGAATGTTGTTTTCTTCTTATAAGTGAAGCAAATTTGCAACCAATACTCGCATACAGTTTTCTTGAAGAACTTAAAAAAGATTTCTTTAATAAATTTACACCAAATGCAGTGCAGAAGGCTATAAGACCGTATTCATTTATAGAATTTGGTATGCTTTTTTTACATTTCTTTTTTTTTTTCTGATTCAAAAAGTTTGAGGGGTCATCCATAAATTATGCCACATGCATAGAGAAAGAGGAGGCATACATTTGTGACAATCTGTGATGATGGGGCAAGGGAGTTTTAAAAATGAAAACAAAAAATTTTCCATTTAAAAATTTTATCACTATTATTAGTCATTCAAATAATTTTAATCCTTCATTCTTTTAAACAATTTTTATAAAGTTTTAATTAGCTTAAATATATTGTCATTGACTAAAAATCTCCAACAAATATTGCATAAATGTCTTCAAATTTTGTAACATAATATGTTTAGATTAATAAAGTTAATAAATGTAAAGAGCCAATTTTGTATTAAAATGTTCAAAATAAACTAAAAATTAAATATTTAGTGCTGCCATATTTTTGAATAATAATCAGCCTTTTAATTACCCCTCAAAAAAACAAGATATACAGCTGTGTTGTTTTTGTTTTTTAACACAACATAAATTTGTGATTTTTTTTTTTGGGTGTGTGATGTACAGACATGTGATGAACTGTGGCAAAAATAAAGGGGTCAAAAGTTTACAAAATAAGCATTATATAGTTAACGGATGACCCCTAAAGGATGAAATTTTAAAATTGTTACATTATACATATTACCTTTATTAAAATGTATCATTTGAGATCTTCCACTACATTTTGTTTTTTTACATTTTTTTTGAGTAAATTATTAAGTTTTTGTTTTTTGAAATATAGATGGAGTAATTCAAAAACATAAACAACGTTATAATAATACAAGAACACTCTGTACAAAAGTTTCATTGGGTAGTATTTCAGAAGAGCTTCAAAATAACCCGCCGTTAGAGATAACAGAACAGGATCTTTTTGGTACTGTCATAGCTGCAAGTGTTCTAAGAAAAACACAGTTACCATCATGTAAGCATCATGTATATATTATTGTATTAATGACAATAGTCAAAAATTAGAATATTATGAATATACTATTATACAACCCTTGGAATTAGGATAATTGAGGTCATTAGGATAAATGAGGTTGGCAATAAATTGCCAAGCTTAATCTTTTAGAGGTCGGCAAAAAAAGTTTGATACAAAGGTCTTACCATAAAACATAGAATGATTTTTTGCTAACCTCAAACATTTTTAGATCGGCAGTTAGGTTGGCATTGCCGAATGTTGACCCTAATTCTGAGGGTTGATTATATTATGTTATATATATATATATATATATATATATATATATATATATATATATATATATATATATATATATATATATATATATATATATATATATATATACATATACATATATACATACATATATATATATATATATATATATATATACATATATATATATATATATATATATATATATATATATATATATATATATATATATATATATATATATATATATATATATATATATATATATATCCCTATATATATATAATATACATATATATATATAATATATATATATAATATATATTATATTATATATATATACACATGTATATATATATATATATATATATATAAGTATATAAAAATAACATATATATTATTACCGTCAACTGGGGTAACTTTGGTGAGTTTCAGCAGTTTTTCTTAAATATCTCTGAATCTTATTAATTTTTTTACAGTTATTTCTTATGGTAATAACATTATAGATCTTTAGCTAGAAACATGAAATAAACATTTAAATGAACAAAAAATTTTGAAATTAGCTCCCTGTTATTGTGCAAAAGTAATTAAAAAAACAAATTTCATTTGAGTTTCTTTATTGTAATGTCTGCTTATCTCATAACTGTCTGCTTATTTCATAACAGTACATTTCATTCCCTTGAATGACATCTGATTTCTATTATTCAGCGAGCGATCTTTCAATAATTAGATCAGGTACAAATCAGCAATGAGATCCACTTCATTCTCAATTAGGACAATGAATATGTCACTGCCAGGTTGTTTCTTAACAAACTTCAACTTCACTTGGTGTAATCGACTAAGGAACTCTGTAACCTTGCCAATGTAGTTTAATTTTGTGTTTTTGTTTTTCCCTGGATATGCTGCCACATACCATTCTCCAACATGAATTTTTTTTCCATCTGTTGAACCATTCTCTCTGAAACACTGTCCTCTTTTACTTCATTGTCAATGTCACTTGGTCATTTTCACTTGTATTTTCTGGTGGGTCATCATTGTCATCTGAGGATGATGACACTTGTTCAACCCTTGTCCTTTTCTTGTTATTCTTGGTGTTATTATTATTCTTTGATGCGAATATATATAGATGGTATCGTTGAATAAAAAATAAAAATCATAAGAAAATATAAAATAAGTAAAACTTTCGTGAAGGTGAAGAACGAAGTCAGTATCCGGAAATTTTTTGGGTCTAAAAATCCTGTCTACCTTAGAGGACTTTTTTTTTTTTTTACTCAAATTTAAATACAATTATTTGTATATAATATGCAACTCGCCTTAGTATTTTAAGTTTCTAATAAAAATGTAAATGTTACATTTATTACAGAATGATGGCTTTAACTCCAACATCTATTCTAAGTTGATAATCGCTAAATAATAAAAGTTGAGAATCGCTACTTTTTATTTATTTGTTCTATTTGCTTACTAATTATAAATTATAATTAATACTAAATATTAAATTATTAAATTAAATTATTTCCCAATTATTTTTTGTAAATTTTTATTAAATTAAATTATTAAATTATAAATATTAAATATTATTAACTAGAAATATAAAGAGTATGATTTCATAAACAAGCAATAACTATAATGTTTAATAAACAATATTTGTATGACTCTTTTAAATAGACTTAATAAGATTTATTACATAGCATATTTATTGCATAACAAGGTAAATTCATTCGAAATTTTAATTACTTCATTCAAAAATTAATGACTTTTCTAGTTCTACTCTTACTTTTCAAATCAAGTTTTAAGGCGCGAATATTAAAATGTTATTATATTTTAAAAACTTTCATTTGTTTTATTATTTAAAGTATTTTTAATACAATTTTACTGTTATTTGAAATAAAAAAGTTTAAAGCTCATATAATTTAATGGTTTTCAAAATTATATTATAAAAATGTAAATGGAGAAAAAACTCAAATTAATGATTCAATTTGGTTTGATTCGATTCGGTTGGTTTGATTCGATTCGGTTTGATTCGATTCGATTTGGTTATGAAAATAAACCTAATTTATTAATATCACTACAAACGAGGAAGAAAAAATTTTTGTGGAAAAATGGAAACTATAAAGCGTTAGATTTGTATTTTAATAACATAAACTGGATAAATGAATTTGAAGGACTAAGTGTTAATGAATGTTACGAAAAATGGCAAAGAAAATATGAAATAGGATGTGAAAAATATATCCCAACGCTAAATTTAGATAAAAACTCTTTTCAACTAAAAAATAACTCACTATGGATGACAAGTGAACTTAAAAGCATGTGTAAAGAAAAGAAAAAATGTTGGTTTAGAAACAGAAATTCAGGTTTTAAAAGTCTTTTAGAAGTCAATAAGTATAAAAAATTAAATAAAGATATAAAAAAACTTGTCAAGAAAAGTATTCGCAATTTTGAAAAAAACTTGGCACTTAATTCAAAAAGCAATCTTAAAAGTGTCTATGCTTATATAAACAACAAAACAAGTCTTAAAGACTCGATCAAAGCCATAAAGCTACATAATGGTATTATAACTACTGATAATCAAGAGATAGTAAACACTCTTAATGAATTCTTTGCTTCTGTGTTTATACAAGATGACTCACCAGAAGAAGTTTTAGACGACAATCTTTTAACAAAATGTTCTGATCCAGATTTTAGTATTTCTATTATTCAGAAACATTTGAGTAATTTAAACATGTTCAAATCAGTAGGTCCAGATAATGTTCACCCAAAAGTTTTAAAGGAATGTTCAGAATCTTTGTCAAGTTCTTTAGCAATAATATTTGTTAAATCGTTTATTACAGGATCTATTCCAAAGTTATGGTCATGTGCAAATGTTGTTCCGTTATTCAAAAAAGGAAATAAACTAGATCCAACAAATTATAGACCGGTTTCATTGACATCAATTGTTGGTAAAGTTATGGAGAGAATTATTAAAGATCATATGATGGTGTTCCTCATTGAAAACAATTTAATTTCTAAAGAGCAACATGGTTTTGTTAATAACAAAAGTTGTATAACAAACCTTAGATTTAATCACCAAACATTAGATTTAATCACGCAAGCGTATAAAGAGGATATTTCTGTTGATGTTTTATTTTTGGATTTTAAAAAAGCATTAGATTCAGTCACACGAAATTACTGAAAAAATTATTCAGACTAGGATTTGTATCATCTTTGTTAAATTGGTGTAAATCATTTTTGTCAGACCGAACACAGAGGGTTGTGATAGGGGAATATATTTCAAGTTGGAAGATGGTTACTAGTGGAGTACCACAAGGTTCAGTACTCGGACCTCTTTTGTTTGTAATCTTCATTAATGACTTATGTAGAGGGATTATTAAAGACACTAAATTATATGCAGACGATACCAAAGTTATTTCAATCAATCATTGTTATGATGATAATAAAATATTACAAGAGGATATTAACAGGTTAGTTAAATGGTCTGAAGATTGGTTAATTACATTTAATGAATCAAAATGTAAAGTCATGTATATTGGCAAAAAGAATCCAAGATATGAATATAAATTGAACAACTCTGTTTTAACAGAAACAATGATAGAAAATGATCTTGGGATTTTCATTTCAAATAATCTAGAGTGGAAATATCATATTAATTCAGCTATAGGTAAAGCAAACAGAAAATTAGGCATAATCAAAAACTCTTTTGAGTATTTGGATGAACTTTCATTAAAGTTACTATACAAATCGTTAGTACGTCCCCATTTGGAATATGGAGCAACAGTTTGGAGTCCATTTTGGAAAAAGGACATTGACAATCTTGAAATTGTGCAACACAGGGCTACGAGAATTGAATCTTTAAGGGGGAAGTCGTATGAAGAAAGATTAAAGATACTTGAATTGCCAACTTTATTTGATAGAAGAAGAAGAGGTGATCTGATTCAAATTTATAAGATCTCAAAAGGGAAAGATATTGTTAATTTTCACCACCCTCCTTTAAATTTTGAGCTGGAGCGATCTAGTAGAAGTAACAATTGTAGAGTACGCAGACAATTTACAAAATCAAGAATTTGTCACCATTTCTTTACAAACAGAGTTATAAATGATTGGAATTCTCTTCCACAATAGATATTAGATAAAGATAATTTGAACATTTTAAAAAACAGTATCGATAATTATTTTGGTTTCTGAACACTAATTTTTGTAATCGGCTGTCATAGTCTTAATTCTACGTAATTAAGACTCTACACACCTCAAGTGTGTACAGCACCTTTTCTATTCTACTCTATTCTAATGTATTTTAAAAATTTGATTTAAAAATGCTAAGCATTTCATATTTTAATCCAATCAAAATGTGCGTTTTACATTTAATCCAATTACAACATATTCTATATTTTATCAACGTGAATTCGAGTTAAGTATTCTGGTTGGCTTAAAATACATTTATAATGTATTTAAAAAATCGTTTTTTAACTGTTGGTTTTTCTAAGCGATATTAATGTCGTAACAAATGCCAGTGTAAAATTGTTTTAAATTGAGTTTGGGCTGAAATTTGGGGGCCCATACTGGTATCAAAATCGGCCTGGATATGTCGCTGGAAGTAGATGCTTGGGGGGGGCAAGGTTTTAAGGGTTTTAATGGAGATAATGGAGATAGTTCTTTGTGAAATCTTGCTAATTGATAATTATAAGTAGTAATAGATCGTAAAATAAGTTAATTTTATGGTCAAAAATCTAAATCAGGGCTTAAATTAACGC